ATCTCAAATTCTTTTTGGCTTCCAGGTCCTGACGAAGGCGGTAACGCCGAAACGTTGACTGAATAAAGTGCTGTACCATCTTGGCTGAGGCTACACCACACACCTTCATACTCTTCTAATTACTCTTCTAACACTCCCGAACAACCCAATTACATAAAGGGCTTTGATTGAAGGTACTGGCCACGTTTGAGGGAACTCTTCAAACAGCCATTGGCAATACGATTCTTGACGAGGACCTCCGTTTACCAGGTTCGTTGAAGATAATTCATCCGCAGTGTGCAAAAAAGTTTTTTCTTCACCTCACTTCAATTCCAAAGCATGCACATGAGATTGAGAATGAGTGAATGCATTGATCAGTGAAGTGAACGAAATCTGTGTTCGGGTGCAACCACTCTTTTGTAGCTATTACATACCCACCGATTGAAAGTTTTTCTATCCCTCATTTCTTAGAAAATCGTCGAAACTTCTATCAATGATGTATAATAATGGTTCAAAATTCTGACGTTTTCAGAGATGGAGATTAATGTAGGACCAGTAAAAACGACTTTTTGAGTAGTGACCAGTATCAACAACTTGACCTTAAGCTCTGGAATATAGTTTGAAGTAGGTAAAGCGAAATTGAAATCCGCATGAGAAAAGTACGGAAGCACAGCCATGCCCTTGGTCACGATTACGGCTTGACATCTACGAGGCGTTGAGTCCAATAGGTTGGTGAGGGTAGGACGGGAACTAAAGTTGCAGACAAGCTGAAGCTGTGAGGACTTCTTGATTGCATTTTTAGCATTTCGGCCTTTCAAGGGTAATCCGAGCTTTTCCACAATTCTTGCTTGAGTCTAGAGACTACCACGACCATCATTCCATTTTGGTCACATTTCCCCTCGAGCTTCACATGCGTGATGATTAGGATTGTCTCTTGCCCTCTTGGATTAGCCAAAGTCGATGCTGCGCCGTGACTAGATGGCCATGGCGTTCTTAAGATGTCTATATAATACTTTTTATTAATACAGTTCAATTTCTATGCAAAAGACTTTCATCGTTCGAAAAAATATCCAAACAGTACACCCTATCGCCCCATCGTCGCTTTGAGGAGATCTTACTTTAATGAATGCTTCTGCTTCATGAGCCGCCCTACAAAGGTGGCTCCATTTGTACGTGATGGATCATCGAACTATTATACTAGCCACTCTAGTCGCTGAACAAATTTAGGCTCAGTTTTTGGCAGTCCAAAAGGGGAGTCCGCTCCAGACCGGTTTTGTGACGCCTCCTCATGGTTCAGAACATTGCAGACGAAGCAATTTTACTATGCTATCACGCATCTCTGCTCCCTCTCTTTAGCGTTTTGAGAGGGGACTTTATAAAGTTTTTTTTTGTTCTAGAGTTTTGTACCTCATTACCATAGAATTTTTCCATTCCCCACTGGTGTCGCGCCTGAACGTCTTTAAATCTTCTCTGAAAGCCTAGCAGTGAACCCATCAATGTTACATTTTGTTATCGTTTTTGAATCCTTCCTGTTCATGTAGTCCTTTTTTACATCATGATAATATTCCGAATCATGTAGTCGGTGACGTTGAAAATCATAGCTAACCGCTACCCCCTCCACGTATCCTCTAGCAATGGCTCTAGATTTCGCGTTTCAATTGAACGTATCTTCGATTAAGAATACCATGAATTCCGAGCATCGAAAAGAAATTCGTCTTGAAAAATGCAGCATGAATGACAACTAGGTTTTGCAACCTTTATTATGTGAGTTTGACTTTCCAACGATTTTGCCTAGCCTGTACGGTAAGGAGGGGAGGTGGTGAATGGTTTACTACGCATGGTCCGGAAATCAAATCCCGGGTTGATATCCATTGAGGTCAACCAAGCCTTCCAACCTTCCGGGATCGATTTGTTGGTGCCAGACTTAGCCGAAAAAATAAGAGCGCTGACCTGTGCATCGGCTGGCTACTGAGGGTCATTTCATATGCAAATACGCATTCAATCCGCTATTATTATACATCCCAAGAAGGATTGATTGCAATTAAGCAAAACAATAATGATTAAAAAAATTATTACATTACAAGTGAAAATTACATTAATTGGTAATTTTTTTGAAATTTCACGGGTAAATATGTCATAAAGTGAACCTTCCAATCGGCACTCTAGACTGTATTTTGCCCCTTTGTTTAGTGTAATAGAGGAATTTGCGTTCGGGAACTGTAAGCTATAAAACAGTGAGGTGCGAGAAGTTATTGTGGTTACAGCCGAGTTCCCTTGCTTTCCAAAACACTTCGTTTGTTATTTCTTCCCATTTTCGAATTAAAAGGCGGTGCTTCAGTGAGTACCAGACACCCGTGGGCTCCGCACTGAAGTGGAGCGAATTAATTTTGACCACTATAAAAAAGAATAGTTGTGACTTCATGCAATTTCAACATGTACCTTCAGCTTATGCCCCCGAATACGAACCCGCTTACCCGTGGCGTAAGGAACAGGATGACATGGGAGAAGACAACAATAGCACAGAAAGCAGTCAGTCGACAATGGCGCTTGAAACGCCGAATGTAGAGGCTCGACAGACAACGTTAAAAATGCTGACAACCGAACCTACGGTAAGCATCTCTTTGCGCAACGCTTCTGAAAAAAAAGAGTGAAACGATTTTTCATATATTTGCGGTTGTTGTGTTAGAACTTCACCGGCAATGATTACATGAACCCTCGAGTCCGTGGTGAAGTGGGTGTCTTGTTTTGCGCGGCATGATGGTTGCAGGAGATTGATTAGCATGGAATAAAAGTATCGTCTTGTGTCTCGCTTGTTAGCATGGTATCTTAAGAGTAGTGGGGAAGTACTGGTATGTCAAATCAGCTTAGGCACAAGAAAAGGGGTGACGGAAGTTCTCCCCGAGTTCCCATGGCCTCGGCAGTGGTTCCGCGGCGCATCCTTCCAATGGGAATTCGTATTTTTCCCTTCACATTGCGCGTGCGTCGAGCGCGGCTTTTCGTTCGTGGAGAAGATACCAGACCCCAAGAAAAGGTCCTGCAACCTGTTACCATATCAGTATGACATACATTATGGCATTCTTTTTATTATGACGGCTATTCCGTTTGCTTCGAGACGATACTATATGTATCAAATACGTTTTGTGTATGATTACCGTTCTCAACAAGAGTCAACAGCACGTCGTGATGTAGAACGAAAGGTTAAACAATGTGAAATTTTTCGCATGATTCAAGATGAAAAACGAATTCGTAATTTAGTTATAACCAGTGAAGCTAAAAGCCTAAAAGCACAGTCCACCATTATGACGAAAAATGGAAGATAAGGTGCGAAATAGTCGACGAAGGCCAAGGAACTGCGTGAATCGGTGTTTCCAAAGTGAAAAAAGGCTCGAAAAATCGTTAATATGGGGGCTGGACGAGAATGAGACCAGAAGAATGAAGAAGTGTGGGGCGTTTGGACGAGCTATACAATGTGGGGCATTACGTACGTGTGGGTCTTGGTGCGAATAACTGACTACGGTAAGCAAAATTCATTCACTTATAAGCATAAGTAAACAAAAAACCCTATTAACAGCAGAAAAAGCTCACATTTTTTAGCCTCTTGGGGTAGGAAATCAAATAAGGGATGGCGGCAGCAAAAAGAATAACAGAGGAAAGAAGAATGGAAGAAAAACATTGCCTCATCATCGGCGATCAGCTGATTGTGTGTGGGTCTAGAACGAATATTCGCGATCTGCCTAGACACTCGTATAACGTGACATCGATCAAGGGGCGGGAAGACCGCGCAAGCCGGGAGCAGGGCTTCCGCCCTAACCGTCGAGTTTTTGGACGTGAGAGGGTCGTTCCTATTATGTTTTTGGGCCACTGACTATTCCTAGGGGAAGAACTCAGTGACCATTTTTATCGTGTACTGTGCCTTTACGGTCCAGTGCTGATATTGCTGATAAGCTATGGCATAAGCCATTAAGAAGGCGAGGGCAAGCGGGATTTCGGTCGTGTAAGCGATAGAGCACGGTGCCGAAAGCACAATAACAGGTTCGAGTCCCGTCCGAGTCTGAAGTTTTGTCCATAATCGCCAACTTTGTGAGACTTTCGCATCGCATCGTACAGAACTCTTTGGTCAGTTGTTGAAGTGACAAATGCAGCCGCTACCAACTGGAACGACACTGAAGCCCTTGAATCGGGTTGATCTAGTGAGTGCTTCAAGATGTCGCTTGCAAGGAAATGTCAGGGGGTACATATTGCTTCCTTCAAGAAGAAAAATAGTTGTTCCAAAATATCTCTTTACATTTAACGGCTATTATTAACAGCAATCGCAATTGCTATCGCTTCAGCCAGAGGAGACAAGTGACGATCAGGTCTTACCAACGCAAATGAATCAGCTTGACTGGACCATACCGCAAATTCCTGAGATCGGCGATGACCATCCTTTAGAGATTTTCGTGAGGAGCACCAGTGCAACGCCAATACTCCAATCAGGTCAGACAGTTGGGGATTTATCGCTGTTTTCAGAGAATATGTTGGTTTATTTTAAGCTTCAGAGAGGTCTGGCCGACGCTTAGCTGACCAGATCATCGACGTCATGAGCGAAGAGCTCACCCTGAGGACTGCTGATGACGCTCCATCAAGAGAAGGTGAGATGAACGTTACTCATACAGCTCTTGAAATGATAAAGCATCATGACATTCAAAATTTTTTTCGGATTCTCTAGTAAAGTTCATGTAGGTGGACCTTCCAGAGAATAATGATAATGACAATATGAACATTAGTTGTTCTCAAGCCTAAGGCTTTAGTGCAGGTAGCCACTCAAATACTACTGAAGATGAGTTTTGCTATGCAGATTACCTGGGTATTAAGTGTTTTTAGCTGCCCCTGGTGGCGCGGTGTCCCTTTGCATTCCCGTGTTTACCAAAAGAAAGGGCTTCTAGACAACCACTGGGTTATCTTGAATGTTTACAAATTTATCATCTATCGTTCCAACTGTATTGTTCTGAGAGTTGTAAGCTCACTTCTACCAGCACATTCCCGGCTGCGAAAGAGTGACAGTGATCCACGGACGTGAGAACAATATTTCTTGCAAAGAGTCTTTTCCAACGAGCATTCCCTTCCATCGAATGTACATTGCTACCGAAAATTTTGTAACACCATCTTGAGTTTCCAACTTCTCTCTTGCTTTAACCTCGGCATAGTTGTTTATGATTGAAATAATTTTGTGCCGTACGAGGTTGTTAGGTGGAACAGTT